ATACAACCACCAGCCAAGTGTTGCACCACAGTGATACAATCACCAGGCAAGTGTTGCATCACAGTGATACAACCACCAGGCAAGTGTTGCATCTCAGTGATACAATCACCAGGCAAGTGTTGCATCACAGTGATACAACCACCAGCCAAGTGTTGCATCACAGTGATACAACCACCAGGCAAGTGTTGCATTACAGTGATACAACCACCAGCCAAGTGTTGCATCACAGTGATACAACCACCAGGCAAGTGTTGCATCACAATGATACAACCACCAGGCAAGTGTTGCATCACAGTGATACAATCACCAGGCAAGTGTTGCATCACAGTGATACAATCACCAGGCAAGTGTTGCATCTCAGTAATACAACTACAGGGCAAGTGTTGCATCTGAGTGATACAACCACAAGGCAAGTGTTGCATCTCGATGATGCAAGCACCAGGTGTGTAATATCTCAGTGAAACAAGCAACAGGTATGTAATATCTCAATGAAACAAGCACCAGGTGTGTAATATCTCAGTGAAACAAGCGCCAGGTGTGTAATATCGCAGTGAAACCTAGCACCAGGTGTGTAATATCTCAGTGAAACAAGCACCAGGTATGTAATATCTCAATGAAACAAGCACCAGGTGTGTAATATCTCAGCGAAACAAGCACCAGGTGTGAAATATTTTAGTGAAACTAGCACCAAGTGTGTAATATCTCAGTGAAACTAACACCAGATGTGTAATATGTCAGTAAAAAACAAGCACCATGTGTGTAATATCTCAGTGAAACTAGCACCAGGTGTTCGGCGCACCTGCCACCTCGGTTCGCTGGAAACCTCTCTATCTCCAATGTCAGTACCTCCTTGAATCTTGAGCCAAGGTCTTCACATACTTCCTAGTCGTTCCTCGTGAGCTCTCCTCCTTCCTTCATTCCTTCCTTCCTCAGCCCGATTACCTGGTCTTTGTTTCTTTCCTTCTGATGTGGCTATATAACTACTATGGGTCAGATTTGGCTTTTAATACTATGTCTTTCTCGTATTGACGCTGGACTTCTTCCTTATCCATACATTTTCATTTGTGGTTCTTCCGCTCAACTTCCTGCTTTCCTCGGTCCTTTGTCTTCTATACTATTTCCAAACTCTCGCACACTTAGCCTTGGGTTCTACACACCTCCTTGTGAACCTTGGGCTCACTCTGGTCTTCCTGTTGTTTCTGTTTCCCCGCTACAAACTTTTCCACCCATCGCCTCCCCGGACTGTACTCACCTAGTTGAGGTTGCGGGGGTCGAGTCCGAGCTCCTGGCCCCGCCTCTTCACTGATCGCTACTAGGTCACTCTCCCTGAGCCGTGAGCTTTATCATGCCTCTGCTTAAAGCTATGTATGGATCCTGCCTCCACTACATCGCTTCCCAAACTATTCCACTTACTGACTACTCTGTGGCTGAAGAAATACTTCCTAACATCCCTGTGATTCATCTGTGTCTTCAGCTTCCAACTGTGTCCCCTTGTTACTGTGTCCAATCTCTGGAACATCCTGTCTTTGTCCACCTTGTCAATTCCTCTCAGTATTTTGTATGTCGTTATCATGTCCCCCCTATCTCTCCTGTCCTCCAGTGTCGTCAGGTTGATTTCCCTTAACCTCTCCTCGTAGGACATACCTCTTAGCTCTGGGACTAGTCTTGTTGCAAACCTGTGTGTGTGTGTGTGTGTGATGTGTGTGTGTGTGTGTGTGTGTGTGTGTGTGTGTGTGTGTGTGTGTGTGTGTGTGTGTGTGTGTGTATGTGTGTATGTGTGTTGTAGTGTGTGTGAGTGTGGAAATGGAAATAATGAAACAGTAAGTCCAGAAAACACGGATTTGCCGAGAATTAGTTAGAGAGGACCGTGAGTGACAGTGAAAAGCCATCACATTGTCAGCGAGAGCCGGAGAGAAACATTCCGGCTATGTGTCACCAATGCTCGACACATTCTGAAGTGTTGGTATCGTCTGTTAACATGAGTGTTAAAGTTGCACAAGAGTTATGATAATGCCATTCACACCTCCAGTGACATGAATGGTAAAGTTGCACAACAGTGATGAGCATACCATGCACACTTCTGGTGACATGAATGCTAAACATGACTTTGATCTCCCCTGTGAAATAAGTAATGATTTTTAACGGCAAATTAAAACAGGACTGAATGAGCAATGATGAACGCGCCTCTGCATGATCATTTACAAATAGAAAACTGAAGTACCAAAGAGAGATACAGCACTGAGTGAATGATAACGCAAGTATCAGTGATCCGTGATAGCCACTGTGATGATTGAGAATGGATAAAGACAGCTTTGAAATACAATGAGGATGACAGCTGCGAAACATCAATGATGAAACAACGTTAAGATACCAAGGATATTCCCTGACCCATTGCTTTGAGGAACCCATGATGAACATACCGTTGAAGCACCAATGTTCAATGAACGATGAAAATGTTCACCTGGGACTCGCATTGACACTCAACATAGAGATTATTCTCACTCTGTTTTGAATGCTTCCTACAGTCACTGTTTTATTCCCCTGTCTAAAGCTATCTCTCTCTCTCTCTCTCTCTCTCTCTCTCTCTCTCTCTCTCTCTCTGTAAAATGTTAGGTTAAGATTCCTAGCATTTTTTTACACTCAGAAAGCTCTTGCCAACATCAGCATATTAGAAAGCCTTTTAATTGTTATGAGGCATACAAATATAGAACAGAATGAAGTTGGAGTCATCTGTGGGCCAGCATTTCCATTTGATCAACTGACGTTATCTCGTTGATATCATAAAACTGTACGAACATCTTCAGACTCGAGTCATCCTGGGAATAAGTGATCTCATATGAATTGATGTTCTGGGGAAGTGTACAGTTGAAGTGTGGCTGCTGTTTACTGCCCGTCTTGTTGTCTTAAAGCTCACTTCTCGCTGTCCATGTAGTGGAGCCAAGTGTGGTTCGTTGACGGTATTAGCCATGTACATAACAGTAAAGCCTCCCACGTCCCTCCGGTGTTGAAGGCTCTGCTGAAATAAAAGAAATATCCAGGCTGGGTCCAGGAGAGAGATGAGTCGTTGAGAACTATTCTTAGTAAGTTACATTGAAGGTAGTCACTGGGGAGGCAAAGCATAGATTCAGCAACTCCTAGTGCTTGTTATGGGAAGAGTAAACAAACCATACCATGGCCACGCTAGCTGGAGATTAGTCTGTAAAAACTTGCATTTGTGGTCACAGTGGTGCCTATGTTAACCTTCGTATGGTGTAGAAATATACCTAGTTGGACGAATCTTATTGTGGCTAGCTGATCCAGTGGCTAACGCAACGGTCTGGAGTTTTGAGACTCTCTGTTCGCGGGTTCTATCCCCGCCCGTGGTATGGTTTGTTTGCAATCGTGTCATTACGATTTCGTGAGTCATGGCAAGAGTATCTCGTGCCATACTCGGATGAAAGCAATAGCAATGTCTAGTGCTACTACGCACCTGATCTTGGATTCATCCAGTGATTGGTACCACTTCGTGGAGAGGTTTAACAGAAGATCAGCAACAGAATGAGTTTTTCTGAAGCATTATTAACGGTCACAAAGAAGTGACTGGTAGTCGATATACGCTGTCATCTTTCGTACGATTATTGTCTCAAGAATTTTGCCAGTGACTGACAGGAGTAACACTGGTCTGCAGCTGTTGACTTCGGCTCTGTTCATTTTTTTTGTGAACAGAGACTACATTTGCCTATTTCCAAAGAGAATGCCATTTACACTGTGCTGGGAAGTGTTGGCACATGTGAGTTTGAGGTGATGGTAGCTGCTTTGCACATCTAATCAGCAAAACTGGGCTAACTTATCTAGGTCGACAGGCTTTTCTTGCTCCAGAGATTTAAGAAGATACACTTCATGTTGAAAATGATGTAAAATATCAACAAGTTGATGATTAAAACACATGTGCAACAGTTGGATATCTTTATTGATGAAACTAGTGATGTATCGGATATCCGCCTCCGCATCCGCGGAACATCCGCACAATTTCTTACATCCTCAACCGCATTTTACTGTAAACAGATATCCGCATGTGCATCCGCATCCATATCTGCGGAACATCCGCACAATTTCTTACATTAACATCAATATTCGTGGAACATCCGCACAATTTCTTACATCCGCAATAATATCTGCAAAAAAAAAGTAAGACATCTTCATACACATCTGCATCCGCGGATCCGATATATTTCTAGTTGAAACGTTTCGCCTACACAGTAGGCTTCTTCAGTCAAATACAGAGGCATCAAGTATAATAGTGAAATGAAGATGATTACATCATTGATTTCATCATCTTCATTTCACTATTATCAAACTGTTGCACATCTCTCTTAAACATCAAATACACTTCATCCTGCCTTACTGTTACCACCGTTAACTTTGAAACAGTTCTTGCGGCTAGACAAAGAAGTTCACTGACTGGATCAGAAACTTGCATCCTGGAAGCAAAATGTTCGGCAAAGAGGTCAGCTTCCTCCTAATAGCTAGTAGAGGTGGTTTTATCTTGCCGTTTTAAAGGTGGAACAATTTCATTTGGTGAATAACGTTGTTGGTGCTTGACTAAGAACCACCAGGTTTTGGAGCCCACTCTACCTGACGTTAGGTCTTTTGTGTCAGCCTCCCATCTAGATACGGCCAATTTTGGAACTTTTTCCATTTGCCTTGTACTTAGCAGCGGCAGCAGCCTCTTGTCAACGAAAACCCAAGGTTCTGTAATATACTGCCGGTGAGAGATGTGTTTTCCTTGAAGATTAAGGAAATGTTCAGTGAAGGCATTCACTTGTTTATTGACATCACCATGGAGAAGAGCATTCCAATCGGATGCGGAAAGCTTAGATCAAAGGGCTGGCCGGTTTCCTCTTCCCCACAGCCTGGTTGTGCGTGTAAATTCATCAGCTCGTCCTGTTCGAATTCTGAATGTCGTAAACACAATATTGTGGTCAGATTAGCCAACATAACCAGGGGGATGGCAAGTGACTATGCCTTCAGATAGATCACTCACTACGTGCGTCGAGCAAGGAGCCAGAGATGTAAGTAGGGGAGACAACGAAGTTTCTCATGTCAAACATGCAAGACGTTCTTCAAAGTCCCTCTACGAATGATGTTGGTTGAGGTCACTCACAATTTTAATCTGCTAACATTTATGTCGAAGCAGAAGGACGTTCACATTCTCCATCAGGAAGTTGATGGAGTCTGCTTGTTGGACACGCTAGTACATAGGTGCTAGTGCTCATGCATAGCTTGAAGATTAGGGACGACAAAGTCTATAAGTTGACCATGAAAGCTTTTGGAAATAGCACAAAGCAACGCTTCCTGCTTGTTCTTGCCTGTTTCTTTTCCTCCATGAAGTGTAGCCAACAATTCTTGCAAAATTTTCTGGAGTCCTGTCATCCAAAAATGTCTCAACAGCAGCTATCATGTCAGGACGTCGAGTGTTCACAAAACTGTGTGTGAGCTCTCCATCATTGGTAGTGAAGCTTCTCTCTCTCTCTCTCTCTCTCTCTCTCTCTCTCTCTCTCTCTTTAATACGTATTTTTTCCCGTTATAAGGGATGACATGTAAAACCAAAATTTGCAGACTACACATTATTGTGAAAAGTGAAGCTTCCAAAGAATATTATTTAAATATTCAGAGTGATTTGGCGATGCTTGATACAACCTTCTCGGCTTTTTGAAAATCAGAATTTGAACTCAGATAAAGTTGTAATAAACAACTGTCAAAGAATAAATAGAAGGATGAGCTAGGGGCTCGAGCCGCTGCCCAGAAATTGACAGTCCGACGCAAGAATATATCTACTGCTAATGCTCCAAACGTTGGGCTACAGTTGATGCCTCTGACGGAATATATTACAGTATTAGTTCTGATTCCTTACTATTAAAAGTCCAGGGGAACAACACATTAGTGTGCAGGAGCACTTCAAGCCCATCGGCCATCCTTCTATAATATATATATATATATATATATATATATATATATATATATATATATATATATATATATATATATAATATATATATATATTATATATATATATATATATATAATATATATATATATATATATATATAATATATATATATATATTATTGCAACCACGAACGAGTGGTATTCATCAATAACAACACTGCTCTAGCCAAGGACCCGAACCCATGTCGTACTGGCCAGCCTCTGTGAGCGAGAACCACATGACACCCACAGGACCACCCAATCCTACAAGAACCAAGCACACAACATTGACCTATGTGTTTTACCTTGGCCCGAGGATATACGGAGGTGAGGGAGCTTTCAGGCTAATTTCATTATAATTCCTGTTTGGTGTACTAACCGACGAGCAACATTTACATATTATTGTAACCTCGCGCCAAGGTAAAACACACCTCTATGCTGTGTGCTTGGCTCTTGTAGGATTTGGTGGTCCTGTAGTTAAGGCGTTACGTGGTTCTCACTCACAATGGCGGGCCAGTAGGACACTGGTTCGGGTCCTTGGCGAGCGCAGTGTTGTTTATTGATATATATATATATATATATATATATATATATATATATATATATATATATATATATATATATATATATATATTTATATATATATAATGTCGCGCCGAATAGGTAAAATTGGTCAATTATCAATAAATCATTTAAAATTAAACCCTTTGGAAAAATTTTTCTTATACGTTTAAAAACATATTTTTTTTCATTTATGTTAATGTAAAAAAATAATAATTTTGTACCAAAGGAACCTTAGAAAACTTACTTAACCTTATTATAATCAGTACAATTTAATATAGTCTATTACAACGAAATATATTTTAGACAAATTTTACAGTAATTTAATGATATACCAACACAATGAAATACATTTTTTTCGTTGGGTTCAGAATGATTTTTGCGGAATTATTACATACACAAATTCTCGCTTACCTTATGCAGCAAAAAGAACATTGCTATTTAATCCCAAGTCGCAAGTTTTACCTATTCGGCACTAAGTATCGCCTGTCTACAAACAATCGTAGACAGGGGATGTTAACAATGCAAGACAAGCCGTGGGAGGTGGAAATCTTTAGCTCAGGTACTTTCACACTTCTCAGTGCATCATCAGGAGCTATGCAAAGTTGCAAGGCAACAGCTGAATGAATGAGGGGAAGTTTTCCTCAGAGTAGCGCAGTGCGGGTTTATCACCTGCCATAGTCTCTCTCGGAATGTAAGCTAACGGTTTGGTGCCACCCACACCACAACCATCCCCATTTCCCCTATGTGGGGTAGGAGAGGGCCTCCAGGTTTTGAGAAGTCAAGGAATATGAAATTAGAAGATATAATAGTCTGCCCAAGCTTTTTCTAGCTGCTTAGAACAGATCATGTGACTTGAGAAAATACATTTCACTGTGAATCATATACATATGGGTTGCTATTATTCTGTGTAACTTTTTTAATTAATGAAAGAAAAGAAATGAATATGCTCTTTTGTCCATTTAAATGCCCTGGTCTGGGGTACTCGAATGTTTCCAGGGGTACTCAGAAATATCTCTTCATGTATTCCTAAATATTGTCTACCAGTCTTCTCCGTATCGATTAATATGTCTTATTTGGGAAACTTCTAAACCATTCTGATATTATTTCTATGATTCAAATTTCTTCTTCGAATATCCTACTATCTACTACCTATGCTATCATGTAATCTTGTGTACCTGTCAATGTATAGCACAGTAAGAGCTAACTGTGTTATATAACCATTCACGACAGACTTAGCATGATGTTTTGGTGCGAAGAGACAGGTCGAGCACCACCAATCCATCATGAAAATAATGAGCAATCCTGCGATTTTGTATAGCACTGTTGTTTAACAATGTTGGTTTTTGTAATCACCCACTGGGGTGGGCTGCTGCCCAGATTACTGTACCCAACAGTTCTGTCATGAAAAGAAATATAACTGAATCTTGAAACATGGCAGGAATACCATATATAACTCAAATTATGGGTTATACAAGCTCGATACCTGTTTAATAGAGTCTATTGTACACAATATTAAAGGTAGCGTTCGACTCCTGCCCTGTCCTGAGTATTTATGTTGGGCTATTCTGGTTTCCAGAAGTTTACCTGTTTAACCAATATATGAGAGAGGACACTGAGTACATGGGACCTCGTAAACCCTACAAACTTTTTTCAGGAGGGTGTGCCTTTAATAAACCTTTGTTTCACAGGCCCAGTGCTTTAGAAAGCAAGGGTTATATTGATCTTTTTAATGCCTCATGCAGGCAGACCAGGTTCTCGTTGTATGGTAAAACTAATACATTTTCCAGTAGGAAGTCTTTCTTGCTGACATTAGTGCCTTCTCGACAGAATCCCTAGGGTTTCTCAGTTCTCTGGCTAAGTTGAATATCTTGCTGATTTCATCTTCTAAATACTTTGGACTGCAGATGAGCAACGCCTTCAAGGACTTTGTGAGGAACACGCTACTTTTAACCCTAGATTCGTGATTGGAATATTAGAGAATGTCTGATGACACATTGGTGGGCTTTTTGTAAATTGTAAATTTCAATTTTCTATCAACATAATAGATTAAAAACGTTTAGAAAAGGTAAAGTGTTCTTCACAGAACAACACTTTATATATATATATATATATATATATATATATATATATATATATATATATATATATATATATATATATATATATATATATATATATATATATATATATAAGCAATAAGATCACAGTAAACAGGTGATTTCAGAATATGCAAAACAACCACTGTGAAAGAATAGAGAAATTCAAGCGCTTTCGTGACTTCTCACATTATCAAGGAACAATGAAAGTAGAGCATCAAAGGAAGGTATATAAGGGGTCTAGCCCACACCTCACTATCAGATCCCACAACAAAGGAACACCTGACACGCCACACATAAGAAAGGGAACACTGCAGCAGGCCCGCCCGCCCAACTAGACTGGTCCTTCACACAACCCACCAACAAACTATTCTACCCAAGAAATAAGAATTTTAAAAATTATTATTTGTCCAATGTATTATTAAATTCTTCCCAAATTCTATTAATTATAAATGGATTTAATTTAAATAAACCAAAGGAAATACTATTCATATTATTGTCAAAACTGTTTTTTTTCATTGTTCCTTGATAATGTGAGTAGTCACGAAATCGCTTGGAATTTCTCTATTCTTTCACAGCGGTTGTTTTGCATATATATATATATATATATATATATATATATATATATATATATATATATATATATATATATATATAATATATATATATATATATGTCGAGCCGAATAGGCAGAATTTGCGATCTTGGCTTAAATAGCAACGCTCATCTTGCCATATAGGACAAGTGAAACTTTGTGTATGCAATAATTTCGCCAAAATCATTCTGAACCCAGCGAAAAAAAATATATTTCACTGTGTTTAATATTAAATTATTGTAAACAAATCTAAAATATATTTAGTTGGGTTAGGCTAAAATAAATTGTTATTGTTATAAAAAGGTTAGGTAAGTTTTCTAAGTTCCTTTTGGAGCAAAATTGTAAATTTTTACACCAACATTAATGAAAAAAAATATTTCTTTAAACGTATAAGAGAAAATTTTAGAAAGGACTTAATTTTAAATGAGTTCTTGCTAATTGACCAGTTTTACGTATTCGGCACGACATATATATATATATATATATATATATATATATATATATATATATATATATATATATATATATATATATATATATATTATATATATTATATATATATATATATATATATATATATATATATATATATATATATATATATATATATATATATATATATATATATAACTGGGATGCTTGAATGTGCGTGGATGTAGTGCAGATGACAAGAAACAGATGATTGCTGATGTTATGAATGAAAAGAAGTTGGATGTCCTGGCTCTAAGCGAAACAAAGCTGAAGGGGGTAGGGGAGTTTCGGTGGGGGGAAATAAATGTGATTAAATCTGGAGTATCTGAGAGAGTTAGAGCAAAGGAAGGGGTAGCAG